TCTAGAAAAAATTGAAACTATTCAAAAATTATTCTTAAAAATTATTTATAAAAAAAATCGTACTTACCCCTCGGACCAACTATACAAAGAATTAAAAATATTAGATCCTAAAAAACACTTTTTCCTTAAAATTGCCAACTACTACTATAAAAACCCAACTAGCCTTAATATTGTTACTCATGAACACGAAACAAGACGAAAAAAACAAAATTAAATATAAAGACTTAGCATCTCGCAAAACTGTAGGCCAAAAATGCCACTTCTTAGCATCAAAAGTGTTAAATTATTTACCTCCAAAAATTCTAAAATCAAAATCATTATCGCAATTTAAAACAAGAACAAAAAATTTTTTATTAGAAGAATATAGAGCAAATATCAGAAATATTATTGATATGAATATCGATAGATAAATGAAAAATAAAAAAAGAATAAAAAAATTTATTAAAAAAAATAATAAATAAAATAAAAAATAATGAAAATTAAAAAAAAAAGCGGCAAATTTCTCTATTATTATTATTATTATTATTATTATATGTCAGTATTTGTATTATATTAATTAATTGTAAAATAAAACATAAAATAGTACTTAACATATCTCTACACACGCCACGGACAGTTTTTATACTTTGTGGCAATGGGTAGTTTATTTGTATGTACCTAAAAAAAAAAAAAAAAAAAATGTATTATTATATTTAATTTTTTGTACATTTTTCAAATAAACTTTTATTATTATTATTATTATTATATACTCTTTTATGGCGAATTTTTACGCCCCCACCCTAAACATTCAATTGAACGTTAAAAATAAAAATAAATTTTTATATTAAAAAGTAAAAATGTAATAATAAAAGAAACATTAGATTAAATTATTCTCACTAATAAGCATTAATTTAGTATCTGGTGTTTGCAGACCATTATCACATTTTCACCAAATTTTTTTTTTTTAATTTTTAACCTTCAAATATTTTACATTTCAAATATGATGAAGGTTTTAGTTACACAAAAAGCATTTATAAAACATATATGCTTTAAAAACAGCAGCAACAAAGCAGTTTGCCTAACTTTTCCATAATTTACAATAATTTATTGCCAATTGTCTACGAGGGTATACCTAATCCTGTACTATTTAACATAATTTAATATATTTACCAGACTTTCAAAAACTAATAGTTTTTATTAGTTAAAATATTACTCTAGAGCAGCCATACTCAACCTGTGACCCTCCAAGCTGTTTTTTTGCGGCCCTCCAAGCTGTTTTATGCGGTCCTCCAAGCTGTTTTGTGCGGCCCTCCAAGCTGTTTTGTGCGGCCCTCCAAACTGTTTTGTGCGGCCCTCCAAGATTTTTTATGCAGCACCAAACACTATTATTAGGAATGACCTACAGTCCTTTTTTAAAACAAATTGTTCCAAAGCTTATTAAAATAACATGAGGATATTTTTTTTAGAAAATATGTAAACAAAAACAATATGAGCGGATCCCTATTGTCACCCAATGTGCTTTATTTACATTTCAAAAAGTTATTACCCAAAAATATTGTGATGTTGTAACCCGTGTAGCATAACAAACAGATTTATTATTATTATTATTATTATTATTATTATTATTATTAATATTATTATTATTATTATTATTATTATTATTATTATTATTATTATTATTATTATTATTATTATTATTATTATTATTATTATTATTATTATTATTATTATTATTATTATTATTATTATTATTATTATTATTATTATTATTATTATTATTATTATTATTATTATTATTATTATTATTATTATTATTATTATTATTATTATTATTATTATTATTATTATTATTATTATTATTATTATTATTATTATTATTATTATTATTATTATTATTATTATTATTATTATTATTATTATTATTATTATTATTATTATTATTATTATTATTATTATTATTATTATTATTATTATTATTATTATTATTATTATTATTATTATTATTATTATTATTATTATTATTATTATTATTATTATTATTATTATTATTATTATTATTATTATTATTATTATTATTATTATTATTATTATTATTATTATTATTATTATTATTATTATTATTATTATTATTATTATTATTATTATTATTATTATTATTATTATTATTATTATTATTATTATTATTATTATTATTATTATTATTATTATTATTATTATTATTATTATTATTATTATTATTATTATTATTATTATTATTATTATTATTATTATTATTATTATTATTATTATTATTATTATTATTATTATTATTATTATTATTATTATTATTATTATTATTATTATTATTATTATTATTATTATTATTATTATTATTATTATTATTATTATTATTATTATTATTATTATTATTATTATTATTACAAACTAATTAGGGCTGAGGAATGAATCCTATTGAGCCCAAAATTACAAGTTCAATAACAAAGACAATTATTAAATAAGTAATTAGCAAATAACATAATGCAAACAAAGCACTAAAAATAAACTTTTAGTTTTCGTTAAAAAAGTCACCGAGTCGGTTTTTGAATACATTTACTGACTGTGCGCGAACAACACTCGAGGGTAAATTATTCCAAGTATAAAAAACTCTATTACAAAAAAAGTTTTCTCGGGTACGTGTTTTAAAATATTCTTTGCTCAACTTGTATTCATGTCCACGGAGGCGCTCATCTGTATTCCGTGGGAGTATACTATAGAGGTTTGATGAAAAAGTACCATGAAGAATTCTGTATGTTACAATTAAATCACCCCTTAATCTTCTGTGGGCAAACGAACACAAATTCGCCATGTTAAGCCGTTCTTCATACGATGGTCTGATTCTGTCGAAAGGTATTCGAGTAGCGTAGCGTTGAACATTTTCCAATCTTTTTTGATCAGAAACCAAATAAGGACACCACGCAGGTCCGACATATTCCATCAACGGTCTAACGTAAGTTGTATAAAGTTTAGAAAACGTTTGAAAGTTCACACGCGTAAAGGACTTTTTTAATAGGTAGATCATTGAGTTCGAACGTTTACATACCGCTGATATGTGTTCTGACCACGTTAATGAAGAGTTTACAATGAGTCCCAGGTCGTTATAGGAGTTCACAGTTGCTAACGCACTACCGTTTAAATAATAGTTCACGCACGGGTTATTTTTTCCTATATGCAGGACGACACATTTTTCCGCGTTTAAAGGAAGCAGCCAGGTGTCACACCAGTTTGAAATAGTTTCAAGGTCTTTTTGTAGCTGGGTAGAATCTGTCACAGGATTACAGTATAGCTTAGTGTCATCAGCGTAACACGAAATATTAGAATTTAAGTCTTTGCCTAGATCTGCAGCGTATACCAGGAATAGTAATGGCCCTATGACAGAGCCTTGAGGGACACCACTTAGAACTGGATACTCTGACGAGAACATCTGTCCAACTTTTACCTTGAAGATGCGATTTGACAAAAAATCACTTATCCAGAGAAGTAAAGAGCCGCGAATGCCAGCTTTTTCCAATTTATAAAGCAATCTCTTTTTGGAAACACGATCAAAGGCTTTAGCGAAATCAAGATATACGACATCGACAGGCTCTTTATTGTCCACAGACGTAGTCCAATCGTTTAAACAGGTCATTAGGTTTGTTAATGTGGATCGGCCTTTAATAAAACCGTGTTGTTCTTTTGGCAAGACGTCATAGCTCTTAAAAAAATCAGACATATAATTGGTTAAGATGGATTCCATTATTTTACAAGCGATTGGGACGAGGCTTATTGGACGATAGTTGGATGGACTGAGTTTGTCACCCTTTTTAAAAATAGGTGTCACCGAAGCAATTTTCCACATTGAAGGAAGTGTGTGAGATGTAAAAGAAGATGTCATAATAATGGATAGAGGTAAAGCCAAATATGATGCGCATTCTTTTATATGTATGCGCATGTAGCCCGAAAGAACAAAAGGTTGAGTACAGCTGCTCTAGAGGAACAAACCACGACTCATGAAATACAAAACAACTTAGACGCATTTTGCCAAATTATAAAGTTGATAAAAATATAGTACCAAGATAGTTGGAATTTCCATGTGTTTATTTGCATTTTTATAATTTTTTATAATTTTTTAACACTTTTCTTTAAAATACGCCGCTTTTTTAAATCTTTTTCCAGCGTGAGATATCCATTTTGTTAACTCAAACATCAACAAGCCAATAACGTGTTAAAATAGAAATAATGAAATGTTTCAAATTGGCTCTATTAAACCAGCAGCAGGAATATTTTTGTGTTCTTTGAGAGCATTTTACCTCATTGATGTTTTTTAAGTATTACTAATACAGCAGTAATAAAAACATTTAAAGAATACTTTGTAATTGCTATGTTTTCTCTCCTAAATATAGTTCTTTGTAGTTGCAATAAAAGTATTTTATGTTTGTTGTAACAATTTTGCTTTTTACATACTGTACAAATTGTCTTAACAAGAAAATGAGTCGATTTTCCTTATAATTGTTAAATATATAACCAAGGTATTTTATTGTTATATCAAACAGCATGCTTTATAAATTTGCACGTTTTTATATTTACACTTACCTTTAAAATGTTATTAAAGACAAATATAAAACCGTTATAAATCAAAAAGCCATAAACAAGAAATTGGTGTAATAGATACGACTTATAGTTGTTCTTAAGAAATATCGAGTATCTCTTGTAAGAAAAATTTATAACATATAAAAAATATGCTGTAAGAATATTTATATTACAATATTATAGTGCTATTTTGTTTTCAACAGCTAAATTGCATCATTTGCTACATTTATGAGTCAATATTGAATTTCTGAAACAACTATAGAACCTTTATGAGAATTAAATGTTCTATAATTCAAGGTTATAAGAGAAGTGTGCTGGTTGGGCTATCTTCTGACAGCCGTTAACTATATTGATTTCTTCTAATTCATTAAAATTGTGGTAATTTAAACTTTATTTAATAAACGAATTATTTATAGGTTCATCGCCAGTCCAAACAAATGCGAATTTATCAACTCCTCCGTCAACATCATCGACTACATAGCAACTGCGAGTTTCTACATCGATTTACTGCTCAGAAAATTCGCGTCTCACGTCGATAACGCCGATATAATGGAATTCTTCTCCATAATTCGCATAATGAGACTCTTCAAGCTCACCCGACACTCATCGGGCCTGAAGATACTCATCCAAACGTTCAGGGCTTCGGCTAAAGAACTCACCCTGTTGGTGTTCTTCCTAGTTTTAGGTATAGTTATTTTCGCGAGTTTGGTATACTACGCGGAAAGGATTCAAACAAATCCGGATAACGATTTTAAGAGCATACCGTTGGGACTTTGGTGGGCTCTGGTGACCATGACCACCGTGGGTTATGGAGATATGGTGCCTAAGACTTATATTGGAATGTTCGTGGGTGCTTTGTGTGCTCTGGCGGGTGTACTGACGATAGCCTTGCCAGTGCCAGTTATTGTTTCGAATTTTGCCATGTATTATAGCCACACGCAGGTGAGTTATTTTTTTACAACTAATTAAGAAAATACATCTTTCTGATACAGGATACTTCTATCAAAAACTTAATTTTTGTCACTAGTGAGAAAAAATTGTGTGAAAAAAGTTGTTGCATATTTTTACACATCATCCGCCTCGTATATTAATCTAGCATCTTAATGTTATTCTATTCTTTTATTTCCAGTAAGTGATAAATTGTTTCCTTAATTCTTAAATCTAGACTTTTGTGTATATTCTTAAATAATTGTTAACTATAAAAATAGCTTTGTTTTACGAAATCGTTCTTCCAAATACGTATCTCATTTACAAAATAAATAATAATAAAAGGCAAGATGTAATCCAAGTTTAAAAGTGTAGTAAAAATCTGGTGTTGACTTTCTGATGATTGATGTTGCTATACAAAGGAAAATCGAAAATAGATTATCAATTCATCATAAAGTTTTTCTGCTATTTATTTCTGAATTTGTTCTTTCGTTCGTATTGCACAAAATCTGAAAAAATACCGGTGTTACTTCCGAATATTTCTTTGGTTAAAATGTTCTGTAGCATATGTCGCTGGTGTTATAGGAATTGGGTTTTTTTGTAGAAATAACTAACGAGTCATAAGTAGTAGAAAAAGAAGTGTTTTTAATTTACTATTTTCACTGAAGTAAATAAAAATAGTGGTTGATTCCATTTAGATATAATAATTTTCTTATCTTCACTAAACAGTTTTAAATATTTACAATTTTAGTTCATCACAATTTGATTTACTAATACAGTTGATTTTTTAGTTACCAACTTGAAAACATTTGTTTGTAGAATTTCTTATGCCATAACAATTGTAGAAGAAATAACTTTCACCAGAAAATAAAATGCATTAAACGCTTGTAAAAATGTAGAAAGTAACGTGCCGTCGGCAGAAAGCACCTGAACGTTCGGATAGCAACGACAACTGTGAGCGATGATGGCAAAAAGACAACTGAACTCGTTTGTGGCAATAAGACAACTACTGAATTCTCGTCGAGCTCACCCTAATATATACTGTTCGGATGAAATGAGTGTCCGGGGCATAGTTGACGCACCTATTCGGTTTCAACCAATGAAAACATCATGACATAATGAAATACGTCATTTGTGTTTCGTTAACTATGCGCCGGACACTCACTTTGTTCCACTGCACAGCTGTGCACACAGGTGTTCGACGTTCGGTATTCTGAGAAAAATGCTATTTATAGTTTTATGACTTCACATTATATTAGGGTAAAAAGCAGTCGAACTATTTGAGAATTGTTTATTTATTTAGTAGATGTAAAATATTAATTTGTTGATGTTTTTACTGGTGAAATTGTAGAATTTAACCAAAATCTAAACTTTGTAAAACTTCTGCATTCTTTACAGTGTAAAATTAAATAAACGTACAGGTCTATATTATTTTTACAGCAAGGTCATTTTGGAAAAAAGTTCTTTAATCTCTTGTCATATTATCGACAGTTGAACTATAGTAATTACTATTCTAGAGTAATTCACTTCTTTCAAATTTCTTACAAATTAGGTCTTCGAAGAAGGGTTTATGATATACTGTTTTTTTTTTTTTTTTTCAAAAACAGAAGACTTAAAATTTTTAATTAGATTCATGATATGCCCTTTTTACCCAAAATTGATAATTTTCAATTTTTACAGGCTCGTACAATTTAACAGATTTGGGGAATTTAAAAAGTTGTATAATGGAGGATGTAATATTAATAAACTCACCTTTTTCTCTACACCATCTACAAACAAAAAATCCCTTGTAAAAATCCCCTCTAACAAATTCTTTTCCTAACGACACTTAATATTCAACAACTCTTCAAGAGCTCCTTGATTTTTATTTTTTGTTATTATTTAAAGTTTTAGTAACTTCATTATCGGGATCATCATAAAATTACAATTTTAACTATTTAAAATAATTCCTCACTTCATAAAATTTGGAGATTCAGAAATTTCCATATCAAAATATTATAGTACCTACATTAGGAATGTGACCAAACTATAATTGACTTACACATACGTTGCCTATATAAAACTTATCTATATGATTTTTTTGTTTTTAAGGCAAGCTATTCGATTTTAAAAAAGAAAGTTACTATATTTTATATTTTTAAATGTTAATCAAACATTGGTCAAGACCTGAATTCCAAACAGTTTTAGAATATATTATAATGGGACTCACGTGTGATCTACAGGGGTGTTTCAAAAAGGTATGTCATAAATTTATCCTCCGAGAGATTACCAAAAAATAAGTGGATTTGGTTATATTTACCTATATCAAAAACTGGCTCCCAACAAAGTTACAGGGTGTTAAACTAACATTCAGAAAAACTTTTTTTTTTGTAAAAAGTTTGCTGTTGCGATTTTTTTTTCGAAATTTTTGCCAGTGCTGTAGATTTGAAGGCCCAATATTCTAAGGAAAAAAAAAGTTAAAAGCGACCCCTTTATAAAAAGTTGGGGGGTTGCTTTATCGATCCTAAAATCAAAAAGAACTATGAATTTTTAAATTTTTTTTATAGCGAAATGAACTTTGTATCTTTCTTATTTAACGAGCTATTTACAATTTTTTAACTGAATTTCTAGAGCAATTTGTCCGTCTTGGGCTTAACATATCAACAAAACTAAGAATAGGTCAGGAGTTATTGTACAAAAAACGCATATAAAAATCAGTGGTGTGCCTAAGGCTGTGCTTGAGCCGCCCGTGCAAAAAATTACCTCTTGTAAAAAATGTATTTATAATATTGGATTGGCGCCATAAAAATGGTGTGTCACCCGTCCTCATTGGTTCACCATGCCACTGATAAAAATACACGTTAGTTGGAAAATGTATTTATTAAATTTAATAGTAAATAAAAAAACTATTTTCTTAATTAAACAATTAACAAAAAATTAACAATTAAAAATAAACATTTGGTAATAATTATTATACATATTTTATAAACTATTTAATTTAGTAAATATTCAGCATGTCCTCCTCCTTCTTGAATGCAAAAATATAAATAAAAGGGGGTAGTTTTTGCAAGGGTGGCTCAAGCGCAGCCCTAGACACACTACTGATGTTATATGCGTTTTTTGTACAATAACTCCTGACCTACTCTTAGTTTTGTTGATATGTTAAGTCCAGGACGGACGAATTACTCTAAATATTCAGTTAAAAAATTGTAAATAGCTCGTTAGATAAGAAAGATACAAAGTTCATTTCGCTATAAAAACATTTTAAAAATTCATAGTTCTTTTTGATTTTAAGATCGATAAAGCAAGTTTTTTTATGACAAAAAAAATACGGAGGCGTTAAAAGGTACCCAATCCCCAACTTTTTTTAAAGGGATCGCTTTAATTTTTTTTCCTTAGAATATTGGGCCTTCAAATCTAGAGCACTGGCAAAAATTTTGAAGAAAAAATCGCGACAGTAAACTTTTTACAGGTTAGTTTAACACCCTGTAATGTGGTCGGTGGCTCAGTGGTAGAGTCTCTGCCTGCGGATCCAAGGGTCCCAGGTTCGAATCCCACCGTTGGCCTGGATTTTTTCATTTAATTTAATTATTGAAAATTAATTCTGATGCCTTGGTAGGATTCCCCACTCGACCATTCACTGTTGGGTACTAATTAACAGTGCTGTTCCTAAAGTGGCGCTGGGAAACAGTTAAAAAACCTACACAGAATACGAGGCTAATAACCATAGCAGTTGATGCCGTTGACACCAAAAAAAAACACCCTGTAACTTTGTTGGGAGCCAGTTTTTGATATAGGTAAATATGGCCAAATCCACCTATTTTTTAGTAATCTATCCGAGGATGAATTTATGACATACCTTTTTTGTCCAAGTAAGATTAAAGTTAACGATAAGCATTTTTGCTCGGATTATCCTCCAAAGTGCCCAGACGTTCTCAAGGAGTTCCAACCACTTCTCGTATGGGGTTCATGTATGGCGGAACTTCAACCGCATGTGTTTATTTTGCCACAATTTGAATCCTCTTCTCCTTTGCATTGATTCTTCTCATACTATGGACTGTTTAAATAAGCCACAATATCTACAAGTTTGGTCGCTCATCCAAATTGTGATCGGGCTTATGTTGCCGAATTGTGATTGGTATTTGAATAGCTTACACAGTAATAGAGCGACCCGCTTCTTGAATTAATATTAGAATACATCGACTTTATGTCGAAGTTGTTAATTTCATAATTTAGTCTTGGATTGTTTATACAACCGTTCAGTAGATCATTTAATAATAGAGTTAAGCTTGTTCTGGAGAGAATACAATTTTGAAGTAGGAGCTAACTAGATCTTGAAATTATCAGCGAGAAAACCACAAAAATCAGAATTCTAGCAAACTCGACCTAATACTGGCTTCGTACGAGAGAACGATTCACCCACTTTGACAGAAATCTTTATACTGTTCTCTCCAATTTGTGTAATAACCACCTTTGTTGTACCTGATTACTTGCCTTGAAAAAGTGCAAATTTGTCTCTAATTTTTCGTCTAAAATTTTAGTAGTCACTAATTTAAAAAGCTTTAAAACTGCAAAAAAAGCAAACATGCAACTCTCAGCTAGTTTTTTTTTGAAAAACTACCAAGAACTCACCACATAGAGGTGGCTGCATCTCGAGTTCCAACCTACCCTCCCACCCTTAAAATAAAAAAAAATCTATGTTTTCTGTTCTATAACTGCTAAAAATTTTTTTTTTTTTATCAAATTGCTGCAATATTTGTCTAGATTCAATTCGAATCCTAATTATCCCATCTCGTTCTTCAGTGCCATAAACCGCCATAGAGGCTATTAATAGATTTTCTGGTTGACCAAAAAATCCATTTCTCTCAATTGTATAATAACTGTTTTAATTTTTAAGGTGGGTAAAATTTTAAGATTTTGAGAGGGCTCATTGGTAGCAACGTATAACCTTAGGACTTTATTGGCTGTGGTAAGCCATCTAGAGTGTGACATTTTCCCTGGCGCTTTTAGAGCCAAATTGCCTTTTAAAACTCCTG